GTCCTACACAATTGACAGAACAGCAAAAACCATTCTTCTATAGTATGCTGTATCCCCACTCTGGGAGTCTGTGAAAGCCACTCTGTAGTCAATGCTCTTCAAATGCTTTTTGGGGAGAGGTAAGGAGCACACATGCTTTATGCTACAGTCCCATCAACTAGTGGAAGATTTTGAGTAGAAAATCTGCATTATAATTAATGCTGATCAAACCAGCAGTAATTCCCCCCTTCATCTTCTACTTGGGATGGGTGTGGGAGATGGAGAATGATGGAAAAGAACAGCTACTGACATCACAGTTCTTTGGTAAGCGAAGCTCTCAGCAGAGAAAGAGAAGGCCAAGGAGCACTGTGGATAGGACAGCTCTTATACTTGACAGCCGGAGACTGCCCTTGTGAGATTTTCAAATTGTGGAGGTTGTAGCCTCCACAATTCCTCAAAGCCATCCCTCCTCTTTAGGAGCTTAATCTAATCCCTGCTGATGTTAACAGAAACCTATATATGGATGTATATTGGCATTACATTTGGTCCTTAGAGAGCTTGTAAAGGAAATTCAGTTTTCTGTGTATACTTTTCCATCCTAAAGATTTTCTTATACATGTAAGGAACATGTAAGCTAGAGCTTTTCCCAACTAAAATTTGGCAGATTGTTTACAGCAACAATCTTATTTCTGAGAAGTAGCCTTATTTTTTACAACTCTGGAATTGTCTACACTGCTAAATTTAAAACACAGGCACAGCAGCACTTTAACGCAGCAGCGTGGTCATGGCACCAACGCTGGGAGAAACTTTTCCCCAGAACTCTAAGTAAACCACGTCCATGAGGGGAGTAGCTAATAGCACTGGGAACAACACTCCAAGCATCAGAAGCCTGTTTACATTGGAAGAGTTCTGTTAAATTCCTGTCGTTGGGAGGGTTGTTTTTTCACAACCCTGAGCAAGAAACTTATAGTGAAGTAAAGTGGAAGTGTAGACAAACCCTCAAGCGCTGTTGAATACATTACCAAGGATTTAATGTCAGTTTTGTAGTCATATTACTGTGAGCTCAACTATATGCTTGTGGTTTAAATAATATATATGAAATACTTATTCACAATGGCATTTATATAATAAAACCAAATCTCTACACCAAAATGTTCTAACTCAATGTTTCTCAACGATACAGCTTATGAAGACAGCAAGCCAGCCACTGGTATAAAAAAGATGGAGAAATACTGATCTAACCTCATAGAGATATTTTGTTTTTTTCTGCACTGAAATTTTATCAAGTGCTGCTGTAAATTAATTTTTCATAAAACACAAGTAACCCTGGACAAGTCACTTGAGTTAAATGTACTTTACACCTTTCTTCCTTTCTGCAATTCTATATAAGAACCACATATCTATAGTACTTACATACCAGATAGAGTAATTATGATTCACAGTAAGATAGTTACAGTGCATTCAGTGCTTCATTTCTTCTAGGTCATTCCAGTTATATGTAAAATGTTTATTTCTTACCCATCTTCAGCTCTAGCAAAATTAGATTTGCAATATACTCTGAAGATGGTCAGGTGCAGTTCTAAGGCAAGTTCTGTAATACTGCTTTATCTCTTCATTTACTGTTCATTAACATAGGCTACACTGACAGGCATGACTGATCACATCCTCCTTCACAATCCTAAACAAAGCCTGAATATTCACTACACCAAGATTTCATTCTCAGGGGACTCCTTTATTTGCCCATACAAACAGGATTCCATTGTGTACAAAACCAGCAACCAACACAAAATATTTACTTCTTTTGATAACTTACACCTGTACAATAAACCTAGAATCATATATGCTTGTGTATATTACTATAGAAAAATAAAGCTTGGTGCAAAAAACAAGCTTCTGAGCTCCATATGTCCCGCAGGTATACAGATAAGTAGGGTGGACTAGCACTTAAATTTAGAGTATCTTTGCTGCCCTTCATTACAAATTTAATAAAAAACATATTTAAAATGTTTTTTAAATGTAGGATCCTAATAATTAACATAACGTACAGATAAAACGAAATATTTAAGAATTGCTTTCTCTTTCATGTCAGTCCTCGCAGGACTTAACTTGACGGTTATTTCTTCTGCATAAACTGATGTCTTTACAGAGCTCTTTATGGTATGTGACCCTGGGCTTGATCCAATTTAAGTCAATGGAAAGGATACAAGTCATTTCACTGAGCTTTGGATCAGACCCCTATATGCTCATCTGAACTGTTATAATGCCATCAATTTCTGCAGGAGGAACAAAACAATGAACTCAGCTATTTTGTTGGGGTTTTTAAAATATGAACTAGCTCAGTTTCATTTTAAAATCTATGTATTTGTAAATTCAAAAATACCAGTGTATTCCCATAATAATGTAAATCAGGGTTTGAAAAATCCACTCACAGGAAGCTGTTCTGGGAAAGTACCACCAATTTCTTCAGAATCTTGGGGAGGGGGCGGTATTTTAAAAGTAATTAAGTTCTAGTCCTTATATTTGTGATGATAACTTTGGTTTAACCTTCCAAACACAAACTAATTCAGTGATCTTCCTAACTCTGCTGACATAGCTCCAGTGCCTCTGCTACTCATTGTTTCCGAAGCCACAACCAAGTGAAACTATGATTCTTGTCATTCTCATTGCTACTCACAATCTTCTGGTTAATAGCAATTAAAAGCTAGAATCAGGTTGATTTCATGCTACTGCTCCTTAGGAAAGCTATGGGCTAGAAGCATTACACCTACCCTACATAAGAGGACCTGAAAACAGAAGCTGAGAGAACAGCAGTGAAGAAGAATGAACACTGTCAAGATAACTTGGTAGAATCCAGAAAGCTGAGCAAGAAGTATATTTTGCAAAACCACCCTCAAAATATTACAGCTGTCAGGAGGATATAGGGTGGGAAGGAACAACACAGACAATGTTAATCCCTTTCAGCAGCTGTGGGTAGTGTTGAGTGGAGGATGCAAATTTATCAGATGCAAATTTATCAAATTTATCAGATCAAATTTACCACCTGGAGGCTGATACAAAAAAATGAAGCCTATGAGCAGGGATTAGGAACAGCATTGTAGTAGGAATCCCAGTATCTTTTCTCTTTTTCTTTGCTGTGCAGAGGAGGAAGCACTGTCTCTTGGCCCCCTCCTCCATCCAATCTTTTATACCAATCTGTGGTTAATGGGTTTGCCCCTCTGGCTTTTAGGTGTATAGTAAGATTTCCAAGACCTTAATAAAAGACTCCGATGGACAAAAGGAAAAAACAACAACTAAGCCTTGTCTACCCTAGGATTTAAAGTATAATATTAGCTAAGCAATACATTTTAGAAGTCCAGTGTAGACAAGGCACACTGCATTTAACATGAGCTAAACTGGTCAAATTAAAGTCTAGAAAGGAACCTGAGCTTTGAATCACATGTTAATCCTAGCCTAGACAGGGATTTATTGACAACAGCTAAGGAAATGATGACCTGTTATAAGAAAGAAAACAGAAACTGGAGTGAAGCCAGAAAAGGAAAGGAAGTATCAACAAAAACAAGAGAGATATACCAAGTTAATACATTTTCTGAAAAAACTCTGTTGCTGATTGAAAATATTAGAAGTAAAATGTGCTTCTGCAATACATAGCTCTCTTCTTGTATACCTGCTGCAACATGCAAGGGCCTGTTGTGGAGCTGTTGTCCCACTGGCTAGGAGATGTGTACATTTTTCAATTGATGTAATATCAGACTTTTAGAAAATGTATTTAAAAAGCATTCCAGGTCACTTTTAAATTGCAATTTCCATTAGACTCATCACAAGATTATGACCTAATTTTCACTGTATGTATTTTGATATTGTTATGCACCCTCATTAGCTCCGGTCAGGATTACTATAATTCTCTGTCACTGTTTTCCCAGACACATCTATTAAAAGACTTCATTAATTCATAATGCCAGACTTGGTATTCATGTTCTAAAATGCTTAATTTACGTCTCTCCCATTTTGAAGATGTTATATAATCTTCTGTTTCACATCATCTTTCAAATCTTGATTCCTGTTAAGGAATTCTGTTGACATTTACTCTTACTATGATGTGGACTTTAGTGGTCTATTTTCTGTGTGGTCTGCTTCACTTTTATATCCTTCATATTTATGGTTTTACATTTCATGTAGAAACCATACTTTGTTTACATAAAAGGAGCTTACTGGGTTTTTTTTTTCCATTTATGAACATGAGCTTTGAAACTCCATAGACTGGGACTGGCACTCTCCTTTTTCATTACAATTGAAAATACATTTTTCTGTAAACTTTAAAACACCTCATTGTGTTACTACTTCTCTGGCCAATATATATTGGTTTTGCTATTTAGCTAATGTTAGCATACTTATCTATAACATCAATCTATTTCTGGTACCTCTTCTAAGGTGCTAATCTTTCTTAGAAAATGTTTTGGGAGAGATAATGTAAGCATGTACTTCATGAGTATATCTTATATATACTTATAATAAGGTATTATATTACTCATACCTAAAATATATATTATAGATAGATTATAATTATACTCCATTACAAAATATTAAATATAAAGATCTGTTTGTATACATTTAAAATAAATACATATCAGAGCCTGTATGTTCAACCCTGGATATAGAAAATATATAATAAATACTTAATTGTATACATGCTATAATATTTCTCCTTAATCACTACATGCCTCTGTTAACTTGATCTCCGGGAAAAATGTACTGTTTTTTTCCTTGTGGATACTAAATGGCACAAAAGAAGGCACACATTGTTAATACCTCCCCCCAACATTCAGTTCTTCGGAACAATGTGCACGGTTTTTCTGACAGCTGTTCTCTTTGTTTTGCTGTGCAGCGCCCTCCCTGTCAAGCTGACCAACATGGGCATCTTTCACTTATTCCCCTTATCCAGGCTCCTTCTCTCACCAAAAGGAAGGATTCTGATTGAAGGAGGAGCCGGAGCTCTCCAAATCAACGCGAACACCTTTGTGTACCTCGGGCATTGTTGGTCATTCCAGCTTGGATAGAGGCATGCAGCAGTGCACTCGGCAAGCTCTCGCAAAGAAACCTACAGAGTCCGATTTGCTCTGATACCTTCTAAAGTGCAACACGCCCCCGCCCTGCCTCACCGAGCGGTCCCACTATAAATTCTCTGCCATTCTGCGGGCTCTGTGCTGCGCGTCTACACACCAACCATGATGCAGCGGGGGGGGGAGGAAGATATGCAGTAGGAATAGGACACAACATGGGAGATCCCAACCCCGAATTTAATGCAGCAATTTATTATGGGGGGAGAGGGAAAGTGCAACACGCCCCCGCCCTGCCTCACCGAGCGGTCCCACTATAAATTCTCTGCCATTCTGCGGGCTCTGTGCTGCGCGTCTACACACCAACCATGATGCAGCGGGGGGGGGAGGAAGATATGCAGTAGGAATAGGACACAACATGGGAGATCCCAACCCCGAATTTAATGCAGCAATTTATTATGGGGGGAGAGGGGAGTCACACCCATGCACGGCGGGATTCACACTCCGAGGGGGGGGGGTCAGG